CACTTAAATGCTTCAACAGATGGCCAGATTTGGTTGGGTTCAGAAGCTAAGCAAAATCAAGCTTGACCATTACTTAGATCAGTGGTTCTCAACCTGTGGGTCGGGACCCCATTTGGGGTCGAATGACCATTTCACAGGGGTCGCCAAACCATGCTGTCCGCCATTTTTTTCCTTTTTTCCTAGCTGTCCTACTCCCTCTTATTAGTGGCCACACCCACTTGGGGGTCACCACAACATGGGGAACTGTATTATGGGGTCACGGCATTAGAAAGGTTGAGAACCACTGACTTAGATGGAGACACAAGCTAGACTGGGGAATTAGAAAAACATACACACCCACCCTGGAAGAAGAAATCACAACTGCTTTCATATAGTTCCCAAGAAGTCACTAAGAATCAATCACTCTCACAGATTTTATCGTTTTATTTATCTGATGTTATAAGACACACGTTTATACTGTAATGTAAATGTTGAAAAAACGAAGATGCTGGGGAAATGGCTATGGAAGGAAGAAAGAGGAAACACTTTGTAAACAAGTGGCACTGCTACAGCTTGTGGTAGCAAGTTCCAGGAGATAATTGCAGGTTGTGTAAAAAAGATTTCCATTTTGGTTCTTGTTTGTCCTGTGTATACTTTTACCCTCTTTCATTGGGCGACCAGGTTCTTAAATTGTACGGTAGAAGAATCCAATCTCAATCCCTCCCTCCTTCCTTCTTTATTTCATGTCACATGAATTTTAATTTTAAACTGTAATGATGTTTCATAGAAGTATGACAACCCAAACAATGCAGATTAAAAACCCAAACAATTCAGATTGAAAGCCCAAACAATTCAGATGCATCATTTGCCTCAGGCAAATATGTAGCAGCTTTCCTCAACTTGGTGTCTTCCAGATATGTTTGAATCTCAACTCCCATACCTATTGCAGCAGGTAATAGAGCCAAGCACATCTGGAGGATGCTGGGAAAGTGGGGAGGGGAGGCAGAATTATTTAGAGATAGAAATAGTCCTCAGCTTACGATTGTTCATAGTTATGATGGCCTCGGAAAAAGTGAATTATGATCTGTACTTGCACTTATGACCGTCACATTACCCTTAGCAGCTGGCTTGCATTTACATCTGGTTGCAATGTCTTGCGATCACATGATCATGCTTTGTGACTTTTTTTTGCTAACTTCCAGCAAAATCTGCCCATTTGGAAAGCTGAATTTGTTAACAACCGCACGATTCACTTAACATATGATTCATTTACTGACAATGGTAATTAGCTTAATGACTGCCATAAAAATTGTCATAAAATCGAGTCTAACCTTATTTAGAACCACAACTTTCAATGAAAATTCTACTAGTAATTTGTGGTTGTAAGTTTGAAGATTAACTCTACATTTTGTGGCTCATTATGGATCTGGATTAGGATGGGGAAAGGAAGTGAGAGCTGTATGGAAAAAACATATTTTCCCCCCCTCAAAATATTAACCTGTTATTTTCCTGTTTTCGTGGGAGGTGGGGATCTTGAACTTTTTTAAGCTTAAGCCTGTGAATTTGTTGGATAGGATGATGTCTGTATATATATAAAACTTGCTGCATATAGAAAACTTCTTCATTGAGTCCTTCCAAAAATGCTAGCTTTCCACTGATAAACTATGTTTTTAAAGTAATACAGGTACTCACAGCAGTTCATTTAGTGACAACAGCTCTGGAAAAAGTGGCTCACGACTGTTTTTCACATTTACAACCTTTGCAACATCCCCATGGTCAGGGGTAGGCAACCTTGGCTCTTTTATGACTTGTGGACCTCAACTCCCAGAATTCTGGGAGTTGAGGTCCACGAGTCATAAAAGAGCCAAGGTTGCCTACCCCTGACCATGGTCATGTGATTGAAATTCAGACCTTGGTAACTGACTCATATTTCTGAGGATTGCAGCGTCCTGGGGATCATGTAATCACCTTTTGTGATCTTCTGAGAAGCAAAGTCAATGGGGAAGCCAGATTCACTTAACAACTGTGTTACTAATTTAACAACTCCAATGATTCACTTAACAACTGTAGCAGGAATAGTCGTAAAATGGGGCAAAATTCACTTAATAATATCTTGCTTAACAAGAGAAATTTTGCACCTGCATATATCATTTGCATACGCACACCTGCATTCTGAAGTAGTATTGCACTTGGTTTGCGCTACTTTTTTTTTCTGTCTTAAAATATAATTGCTTAATCCGTATCCCAATTTCCTCTGTTTTTCATTGCATCATATGTGCTGCTATTTCACTCTTTAATTTGGAAGGATGATCCTTCCCTCCCTCCAGTGCCTTTGTGGTAAACTTCTGGGAGTTGACAGCCTCTTCCTCTCAAACTTGAAGCATATTCATTTTAACAAAAGATAGTTTTTTTAAAAAAAAAATGTATGTAATTTTTTTTCCTTTCTGCACTCTATCCCCCTTTTCTTAGGAATTCAAAAGAGACACCAAAAATTTGGTTTAAAAGTTACATTAGCCTTCCCAGTTAACATGACTAAAGTTATGGCTGAGAATCATGGGAACAGCAGATTAATCAAGCATCTGAAAGAACCTACAATTTGGGAAGCTTGGACTATATAGTCTGAGAATTTTCTGCTGTGAAAGATTTCATCCTTGCACCATGGATGTTTTTATGACATCCATTTATAATGATTAATTTTGAATGTTTCTTTCGTGATATAAAAAAAACTGAAGTAATTCCATCCACAAGGAGGTGTGTCCAACCTTGGCAACTTTATGATTGGCTAGAAATTCTGGGAGTTGAAGTCCACAAGTCTTAAAGTTGTTATGGTTGGACACCTCTGTCCTAGAGAATTTACAGACTAGCAGTGGTTTACAGATTAGGACATCCTGAAGTGGGCAGGGAAATTGAGGAAGGGATAAATGAGGAAATATTATTTCTCTTGCCCTCAGTAAAGCTAAAATATCAGGTGAGACTACCTTCAGTCTTTCTGGAACTCCCTTAAAACTTGGATATGTCAATAGGCCTGGGAGGATTCTCATGGAAATGGGGTGTCAGAACTGCCCCTTCACACTTGTGTTATTCTTTTGCTTCGATGCCAGTCTGCCATGAACTATGGGGTGGAGGGATGCTGAATGGGAGGGAGTAGGAGGATTCCATTGTCCCAGCCAGACACACAAATTCAAAGACAACCACCGGCAAAGGAATGTGGCTGCATACCAAGGATGGCCGTTCCAACAACATCCAGTTTAAACATGATTGGACAATCGAGGGCTAACAGGAGGGAGGATGTTGAGAAGGGGGAATTATGCTTGGGAATTTGGCCTGCAAAACTTAGATTTGGCTTTGCTCTACTGCATATCACTTAACCTTTAGTAAACTATACCTTTCTCAACAAATGGAGTCAAGGATCGTTCTTGCTTAAAGCTCAAGTTGAGGCAGGACTGACATGGGGATGTAATGAGGTGGCTACATTGATTGTGATAATATCTAATGCTCTCCCTAGCCCTTTGGATTTTTTAATGATAATAATATTAATATGTTAATTGTAGAATGCTTTTCTAATTACTATTTTTATCATTTTATTATACACTGCCCAGAGTCATGTATTGTTAGGTGGATGGCATATAAATACAACAAATACATGAAAAATATGGTTTGCTAGATTTGAAGAAAATCCACCCTCTTTTTGACAAGATGCAATTCTCCTGCTGTTAAAACAATCAGTCTTAATTGAGGGTTCTAACCAGCGGCAGAACCGGTAGCTAATTTTTTGTTGCCCAGGCCCAGAATGGACTTCCGGAAGCTGCATCCATATAAAGAACCAGTTGTTCATGTATTTGAATCCCACCACTGGATCTAACTAATTAATCAATTAATCAGGAGAAGCTAAACAAGTACTTACTTTAAAGAACAACAGACTGCCCAGTTAATTCAGGCAGTGTCCTGTTTTACTTGATTTTCTACCAATTGTAGCAATCTCTAGAACTGATGGGATGTGACTATTCCTTAGAAATTCCTTTCTGTTTATTTGAGAGCTGGCAGTATAATACCTGGAGCCTCCAGAGTACCTGCCACACTTTATTGATTTATTCAGTAGTTTTTTATTCTACCTTTATCATTTTACAAGTAACTCAAGGCGGCAAACATACCTAATACTCCTACCTCCTATTTTCTCCACAACAACAACCCTGTAATTGAGAGAGGTCTGAGAGAGAGTGGCTGGCTCAGAGTCACCCAGCCGGCACCATGACACCAAACTGGTATATACTTTAATAATGTTTGCGGAATTTTAAAATAAAATAAATGAATTTAAAAACGCTGATATCTTACGAGATTTCAGTATTATCGCACAAGATAGTGAGCTTTCAGGTGAGGGTGTTGAGATTTGTGAGGGTGATGATGTTATCCATGCAGTTGTGTCCAACTCTTGGCAGTTCTGTGGGCCAGGTCTCCCCATGTCTTCCAATCTTGCACTGCTTCTTTGAGTTTTCCTGTTCTCTGGCTGGTGTCATCTTTGATGGTGCCCACCCACCATGTTCTTTGGAGGTCTGGTTTCCTTTTACCGCTAACTCTTCCAAACATAGTCGCTTTCTCCAGTGAATTCCTCCACATGACATAGCCCAGGGGTAGGCAACCTTGGCCCTTTTATGACTCGTGGACTTCAACTTTTTCCTTTCCCCTCAGCATGGCTGGCTCAGGAATTCTGGGAGTTAAAGTCCACGAGTCATAAAAGAGCCAAGGTTACCTACCCCTGACATAGCCGCAGTAAGTGAGATGTAGTTTTGTGATTTTGCTGAGATTTCAGGGATGAGATCATCCAAATTCTGCAAAATTCTGCAATCTTACAGATTTTTTTCCTTAAGAAAAAATCCCCACCCACACCCATTTCCTGAAACAGTTTCTAATCTGGATGCTTGTTTACCTTTTGCTTTTCTTTAAAAGGGGTGTGTGTGTGTGGGGGGGGTGGATTGCCACATGCAATAACCTGACCACCTTTTCTTCCTCTCCGTTTTCCCCAGCTTGGAAAAGAAGAGTCACCCTGGAAAATTCGCTTCTGCGCCATGTTGTCTTCACCAAGGAGCATCCGACGGGAGGTGCTGCTGATTGGAGTCCACGCGGACCAGCCCAGAGGACAACCGTTCCACTAGCCCAGCACATGTGGGTGGAGACGTCTCCCCTCACACCCTCCCCTCCTACATCTCCGGCATCCGCAATGGTTTATTAACCAAGAAGAGCCCTGCTTTTTTAATTCCTCCTTTGTCTTTTCTCCCCTTCCCCTCCCCCTCCCCCGACCCCCTCCCAGCCACTCCTCAAGTTTTGGCCGTGTTGGGATTTGTATGGCAGCGGTGTAACCGTGGAGAGGCCAGGGTATCACAAACTTATGGATTTTGATAAGAGAGGAGGGAAAGGGGAAAACGAGGAGAGTAGAAGAATGTCTAAAACGGGTGGAAGCCGGAGCACTCACGGGAGCCGAACAGCAGGGACCAACTCCGGAGTCTTAATGGTAGGGCCGAATTTTCGTGTTGGGAAGAAAATCGGATGCGGCAACTTTGGGGAACTTCGGCTAGGTAAGTCTTCATATATATATATATATAGATAGATTCATATTCCCTGGTTGGTTTGCTTTAACTCAGCTTTTTTTCATATTTGACAACTTTTAAGAAGCATGGACCCCAACTCTCAGAATTCCCTAACGACACATCTTAAAGTTGTCAAGTTTGAAAAACACTGCTTTAATTCAAACCCAAATATTACATACAATCTTTGCTTCTTGAAAAATGTCTTCAGAAATAAGATGCTGTCTTCCAGAGCAAAATAATTCTCTCCGTACATGTCCTTTTTGATAGCTTTGTAAAGCGCTTTGCCCCAAATACAAATAAATGGCATCTAGTTCTCGAATTATACTGGTTATCGGGACTATAGTTTCTGTTGCTAAGTGATGTGGTTGTAAAATGCAATGTGGCATGGCTGCTTTGCTTAGCAATGGCAATCCTGGAAGTCATCATGGCTGTCATTAACCAAATCACACCTGTCTTAGGCAAGGACTCATCCCGATCCAAGCCATTCCTAAGCTTTGGTCAGATAAGGCAGAGCAGGGGATTGGATTAGAATAGCAATAGCACTTAGACTTATATACTGCCTCATAGTGCTTTACAGTCTTCTCTAGGCGGTTTACAGAGTCAGCCTATTGCCCCCAACAATCTGGGCCCTCACTTTAGCAAGCTCAGAAAGATGGAAGGCTGAGTCAACCTGAGCTGGTCAGAAACGAACTGCTGGCAGTCGACAAGTTAGCCTGCAATACTGCATTCTAACCACTGTGCCACCACGGCTCTTAGACCAGGGCTTTTCAACCTTTTCACCCATTGTGCCACTTTTTGGATATGGCAATATCCGAATACCACCAGTTGCCTAGCAAGGTGTCAAAAACTTGATGACCCAAAAAAAAAAGGAAAAAAGTGATAAAGTACAGGTAGTCCTCGACTTATAACAGTTCGCTTAGTGACTGTTCGAAGTTACAGTGGCACTGAAAAAAGTGCTCCCCAAGCCACAGCTGAGCAAGACACCTGCTTGCCCACCCGGTGACGCTCTTCCTCCTGCCTGAGGTTTCCATTGTTGTGAGCATTTCTGTTGAGGATTGGCGGGGTGGGGGGTGGGTGTTTGATTTTTATTCCCATCTGCTGGGTGGTTGCAGCAGGTTTTGGTCACTTCACATGACCTTGGGACACTGTGACTGTCATAAATCATGAATCAGTTGCCAAGCATCTGAATGTAAATCACAGGACCCTGGAGAAGCTGCAACATTCCAGCTGATTGGCACTTCTTCTGGGCTCAGCAGAAGTGCCAGGATCAGTGCTGCTTTCCAGCTGATTGGTGCTTCTTCGGGGCTCAGCAGAAACACCAGGATCAGCACCAGCCTGGTGCTGATCCTGGCGCTTCTGCTGAGCCCTGGCAGCCCTGCAGCTCCAGCCATCTCTCGCTCAGGCTTATGCGGTGCTGCCACCGGTTCAGCTCATTTCCTTCCCCCACTATCATTTTTCTAGGATGGTCACGTACCACCTGCCAGGTGTCAATGTACCACAGGTGGTACCCGTACCACTGGTTGAAAAGCCCTGTCTTAGAAGTCCTCTGAGATCCCTTCAACTCTGTGATTCCATCTTCTGCCTCCTTTTTGGTTCTTCCCACCCACCATTTTGGACGCCTTGCACACTGTCCTCTTTGCCAGCTCTGTGCTCCACTCAGCATGCTGGACCTGTCACACCCAAATGACCATCACTATCTTCTTTCTTTCTCTCACTGCTGACAAGGCTGGCGTGGCCTGGCCTAGCCTAGCCTGGCAGTTTGCAAGGTAGATGCTGGCTCCACCAGGTCTTTCCAAAGCCACGCGTGGCCTCATTCAAATCATGTATGGCTTTCTCGTGAGGCTTTAGAAGGTGTCAAAGCTTTGTGAGAAAGCCAGACATGTTTGCACCCTGTTCATACAATGCAAAACCACAAACCATACGTTTTGCAAACCACACGTACAGTAATGTGTGTATTATTATTAGAATTTCTGGTCATTTGTAACTTGCACATTAGAATTCCTGGAACGCAGTAGATAATTGACTCTATTCTCCAAGCCACCTGCTGTTTTGTTTCCTCTGGATAGCAAACTTTGATTTTTTTTTCAGATACAGAGATGGAAAATCCAATTATTAACTGTGTAAATTCACAACTTAAAAAAGGAATCCCATTTTGCAAGATGATGGTAAAGATTGTGTGCTTGAGAAGGTGAAGATTTCTGCCTTAAAACCCCACACCAGAGGATGTGTGCAAATAGCACTTAGTCAAATCGTATGTTTTCATTAATCTGCAAGAGAACAGAAGCTGACAAATCCTCCATGATACAAGGCTAAACATGACATATTTCCGCAAAATTGAATATATCTCCGTGCTGTTGTAAAGAGCTTCATAATGAAAATAATGAATAAACTAAGTGTAGAAGCTTGGACTGCACCTTGTAAAACGCTCTTTGGCAGAAATAACAACTTGCAAATGTTCCTATAGCCAATTAAATTTTTCTCTGTTCTTTTTGGAATCCCCCCCCCCTTATTTAGAAATATTCTTAGATTTCTTTGCACATGCTGCATATTTGATTTATCCACACAGATTTTTAATCAGGTTCAGGTTTGGGGACAGTAGAGGCCATTTTAGAAACTTTGGTTTTCTTTCAAATAAGTAAATGTTTCAAGATTGTTTTGGAGATAGATTTCAGATCATTGTCCTGCTAAAATATCCAACTTTTTTCATCTTCTGTTTCTTCATTGACTTGAACACTAATGTCCAGGTTTTCTTGATACTTAGTAGAATCAATTGTCTCTTCCACTTGTACAGTAACTTCTGTGCCACTGGCATTAACACCGGTCCCAAAGTATAATAGATTCATCCCATATTTAATGATTGGCAAAGATGCCTAAAGCCTTTTTCTCTTGTGTGATTAGGGCCGAACAGTTTAAATTTATTTTATCAGTTTCAAACAGCTTGTTCCAAAATATTTCAGTGTTATTAAACTTTTATTTCACATATTTTGGATTCTTGTGACTTCTTGTGTTGAGATTAGAGAAATTTCTCTTCTGGCAATTATCCCATGCAGATCCCCATTGTATAAGCTTTGTCCTGTGGACAGGATCTCCAAAGTTAGCTAAAATTTCCAGGTCATTTCAGCAAATCTGGCTGGCATTTGATACCTCCAGATATTTTTTGATCTTCCAGATCTTGCCTTTACTTCAACAGTTCCATGTAACTTCCTTTTTTAACACTGCAGTTAGTCCTCTACTTATGACCACAATTGAGCCCAAAATTTCTGCTGCTAAGCGAGACATTTGTTAAGTGAATTTTGCCCCGCTTTACGACCTTCCTTGCCACAGTTGTTAAGTGAATTACTGAAGTTTGTAAAGTTAGTAGCATGGTGGTTAAGTGAGTCTGGCTTCCCCACTGACTTTGCTTGTCAGAGGATCGCAAAAGGTAAATCACATGACCCCAGGACACTGCAACCGTCATACATACGAATCAGCCAAACGTTCAGATTTTGATCACGTGACCATGGGGACGCTGCAGTGTTCGTAAGTGTGAAAAAAGGTCATAAGTCACTATTTTCAATGCTGTTGTAACTTTGAATGATCACTAAATGAACTTTTGTAAATTGAGGACTACCTATATTTCTCACGGTTGAGGTTGCTACTTGGAAACATTTAGAGCGGGTTTTTTTAATAGCATTCCTTTGTTTTGTGAGAATTAACGATTTCATTTTTAAATGCGTAGTTGCTTAGAGGAGCTCAGACAGGTAGTCCCTGACTTACAACCACAACTGGGACAAAAATTTCTGTTGCTAAGCAAGGTGGTTCTTAACTGAATTGTGCCCAGTTTTATGACCTTCTTTCCATTTGTTAAGTCCATTGTTGTAGTTATTAAATGGATCGTGGTTGCTGAAAGAATCCAGCTTCTCCCATTGACTTTGCTTGTCAAAAGTCAACTGGGAAGGTCGCAAATGGTGGTCACTTGTCTCTGGGATGCTGCAACCGTCATAAGTACCTGCCAGTTGCCAAGTGCTTGCATTTTGATCATGTGACCTTGGGAAGGCTTGAGCTGTCCTGAGATCTGGTTATAAGTCATTGATTTCAATGCTGTTATAACTTCCAATGGGTGGCTAAAGAAATGGTTGTAAATGCTGAAAGTAGACTAAACAGCAAAACCAAAGGGAGAGATTAGAACGGTCTATTTTTGAACCTAATGTCTCAATCATCACTTTGCAGTTTATTAACAACTTTACTGTAAAAAAAAGAAATAGTAGTGAATTAACAAGTGCTTTCTAAACTTTGGCACCTGGTTATTCATAATTCTCTTAAATTTGAATCTTAACAAATTTAAATTATTTAACTTGGTAACATATAGAGCAGACATGTCAAATTCGCAACGTCACATGACATCACATGTATCAGAGCTTTTTTGCCATTGCCGGCAATGGGGTGGGCGCAGCTCCGGTATGATGAAACCAGCTCGTGGGCCGGCAGTTTGCCACCCCTGATATAGAGGTTGGATTAGCTTCTGCTTGCTTAGGAATTAATTGAAACATACATACTAATCAAAGTTGCATAAATTTTGCAGGTAACTATACCTAGAAGAACTTCTATTCTATGTATTTGCATGGACATTTATAAATTTGCCATTTAATCAGTGGAACTCAGGGCGATTGTATAAATATATGTAGAGATTCAATCTCTCGGCTGATGAATCAACTTTTGGAAACAGGAAGTTTTGAAAATCTTTTACAGGCCAGGCTGCTGTCCATAGTCCATAAATGATCAGATGTTGTTTATGTGTCCTGTTGACAGTGAGCAAGTTGATCCCCAGAACCAAATAGCTTTGCTGACATTTCCAGATGATAAACACCTCTGTCAACCCTACTGTATTAGGACTAAAAATTTCCCTTGCAAATGCGGAGGATTATCCGTTTCCTTCTTTCACTTTTGCCCATGCCATTTAATTAATCTTGCCCTCTCCTCCCTAGAGACCTTTGGCATATATGTCTGGC